TACGCTTGCGACCAGGTAAGATGTTAAGGCGTTCATCTTACTGACAGGGAACCCGCCTGCGAAGGGTACCCCTATGACGCGTGGACGGTCCATCCTGAAGCGAAGAGGGGGCGTCAGTGGTACTGGTTCCTAGTGACTTGGCGCTAGGACGCTCTCTTGAGTTGGTCGCACATAACAACACAAACCAACCTGGAGACAGCAACGAGTGGTGTGGTATGAGGTATAGGTCACGCGCAGTCCAAAAAACAGTCTTGTAACAGTGTCGGCAACCTTGCATATCGTTTCTAGACGTTGTTGCATGTGTGCGAAAGTAGAGATAATATGTAAAAAACTTTACTTTTTATTTCGTGTTAGCCCTAAGATTATTTAAAAATTGCATAAATGATGTGCCTCCAGTTCCAGTTGCCTGAGAGGATCCCGTCATTTGCGTGAGGATATATAACGCCACCTAAAACAGAAAACTTTCCGTTCTCTTACATTGAACCATAACTAAAAATATAAGTCGTCTTACTGTATTAAAATGGAACGAGCGAAAAGCAGCGAGTGCCTCTAATGCTTGCTGACGGCCTTCCGTTGACTTCGTGACCGGTGTCTCTGCTTCGACCCAATAAATGAGCTCACGATGCTCGCGTGGCATGTATTTTCTTTGTTCGTTCAGAAACGTCCTCTCTTCGCCTACAACAGTGATCAATCATCGGTGTAAGCGCAGTGTGCATAATGATCTAAGTTTTTTGTAGAAATGTTTCCATGGAACTGACAGGTTGTCAGGGAAAATGAACTCTCGTGGTGATTCGGGAATACACTGAACAGGGCCTTGTAAGATCCTACACTTCCCATGCTTATCGTTCCTCTTTAGGTCATAGCAGAGAGTAATTCAGAAGAAAACGTGACCGAGGCAGACCCAATCTCAACGATCTAGTTCATCGTCTCTGTTGCTTCTCCAAAGCTGGGAGATACCCCTGTATCCTGGTCCTTGCCATGTGTTGAGTGAATGGGTCCGCAGCTGCAGTAGCGTGCCACTTTCTCCGCTCGAGTTGCAGAGTTACGATGCTGGAGGATAGTGACGCCCGAATAACATCTCCGAACTTCGCCCAGGTATATAGTACGCATGAAACAGGAAAATCACAAAAAGTCAACCACCGCTCCTACAACGCCAAAACGTAAATACGACCCCCCCCCTCCCAACAATGACCAAGTACGACCCCCCCCTTTACAACGTCCGTGAAGCGAGAAAAATCAACTATCAAAATAAATTTTTCCCAGCCCAAATACGACCCCCTCTCCTGGGCCAAATACGCCCCCCCTAGGGTTCCCTAACAATGATGTGCCCTTACTTCGCCGGCGTTGTCGCGCAGCCAGGCGTGCGCCTAGCCATAGCGAAACGAGCTGCGTGTCTGGTTCCTGGTTGTTCTCTACCGCTGAATGCGCGTTTCGCTGTGGGATTCTGGTGTCAACGCAAGTGCTGCACCTTGAAGAAGCGCGTGTAAGCGCGTGTGGAGTCAGGAGACGGCACTCGAGTATCACTACCCTCCTGCCCCTCCCCGTGCACTTCCGAGCACAGAATGTGGCACGCTACTGCGGCTGCGACCTTCATTCTCATTTATCTCGCACGCAAGGACCGCCATCGGAGATGAGTATACGGTTTGTCTTCAAGAGTCATTGGAAAACAATTTCTACAATACCCAACCACTTCAGTTTTCTTCTTGGAAGTTTTTCGCTTTTGAAATTTTCGAAAGTCTGGTCCCATAACGAACCTGAGTGCTCAATTTTCAAAAATGCATCTATTAATTGAATTGTTGAGCTTTGTGCAGCGCTGGCTCCAGAGTATCTCAATGGTCCTTCTTTCTCCATCCCTGCAAAAATATCTGATCTCGACAAATATTAAAGTAACAAAAATAGTCCGAGGCAAAATCATGGTGGTAGGATGCTCATATGCACGGCATGTGCGCGTAAACGCTCTGTTCTGAGAGACAAGAGAAGCCGTTATGACAAGAAAACCTTTCAGTAATGGAAAAAGCGAAGGTGGTGGAAAACAGGAAAGCAACCTTCAAACACAATCCCATGACCATTAATTGCACGTTCCTTATATCCCTGAAGGAAGGGTCGCAGTCCGTGATAAAATTCAGCAGGAGGTAAATGCTCACGCATTCGCTAAAACTAGAGGGTAATTTGGCTACACCAAACTGAAGACTGATTAAGGATCATTGAATCAGGATCGTGAAGTCATTTTAGCCAACATCTGGTACCCAAAGAATGACAGCACTTGGATCCTGGAATTAAGGGAGGCTAACGAAACACCTACGTTCATTACTTACCTTCATAGTCGCTGCGGCTTTCAAAAGGCAATCCCGAACGCTGCAGAGAGCTTCGCTGACGAAGTGAGAACTGCCTTCATTTTTGTAATACACAGCACGAGCCACATTGCAAATGCAGGGCGCGAAGTCCTTCTCTATCTAAACTCACAATTTCCATTTTAAAGACACAATCACACTATACGCTTAGGGTTCAATCTCTTAAATGCACAAGGTGATTCGGTACGCAATTGCAGACGCTGAACCACACAGTGAATTCGGAAACTGGTAAGCAGCGCGCAGGAGGCTCATAGGTCACTGTATCGTCGCCCCGTGCATATCACAGTTGTTCTTGACCACTTACAGCCATATTTCCTTAGAAGCTAGGGCATTTTGAGGGCGGAGCCTGAGTTTGGCGCGGTGCCAACCTGTACGCCACCAACTAGTAGCTGGCAAGCGACCACAATCGGTGGAAAACGGGCTGGCCCCACGTAAAACTCAGACCTCCTAAAACGCCCTAGCGTCCGCAGCGAACAAGACTGTATGCTCGTCGTGGTCACGATCAAGAAAGAGGCCTTTGAGGGCGCCTATTCTACTTACTTTTTTACCCTTCAGTCAAATAGCACAATGCGCTTCTGTTTTTGACATTACACATGAGGTGCAATCGCGAGGATGCCTTTAAATTCACCACCTTTCAAAAAAGCTGATCCTTTTTCATATCGAAGTCAATACCTTCCAATAAAAGTTTAACACTAATTCCCAGCAGACAATTTACTCCTCTCAAGAAAAAGAAACTTTGTGATCAGTTGTTCGGAATGAGGATTTCTCCTTTTTGTATTCGGAACATATACAGCGATTATTTACTGGACATTGCCTGGCCTTGTCCAGCTTTTTGCTGCTGCGGACGATATCTATGCATCCCACGCTTCACCAAGTAGCTAGTGCTCAGGGCAGAGTTCGAAGCGTCATCTTGATACCATCATGGGCTCTCGTGCCGTGAGGCCTGTTGTCTCGCATTCCTATCGAATGTAAGGCATACGGAATGCTACGATTACGAAGCGGTGACAGAGTCTGGGCGATATCGGTGCAACGGAGAGGCCATCTAGCTGCGTTGCCGTTACGTTTCGGAGCGAACCCCTTTGTCAATGGTGATGCTGCGCCTGTTCTGTGTCGAAAACAGGATGATGCCGACAACTTCTTTCCCTCTAGTTCTGACGATTCGCTCATTCCTATCGTTTGGATGCTGGTGTAAGAGAGATTCGGGCGCTGAGGCACTCCCCTCACCCAACTTGAGTTTCACGCGGACATCCAGACCTCACTCGCCTTCGAGATTGCTAGCTCTTGTCCACACGTGGTTTGAGAAGTGGAATAATGATTGTCCGGCAAGGTGAGACATGGCCCTCACACCACTTATTTTTTTAATTCATCTTTGGTTCCTCCCAGTTTGGGCGTGCTCGTATGGGGTGTCGTCCGACGTCGAGAGTGGGTAGAAAAAAGGTTTGTGCGGCGCAATTGTATGCCACACAAGAGAAAACCACAAAAAAACAAGTAGGTGGTGTTACAAAGAGGGCAGATAAGTTACGTATGTTATGGTTAGCATTTGCGTCACGGTCTTTCCAGGTCACGGTGACATAGTATTCGAAGCTTCATTTTCAATTAGAAGTATGCTCAAGCTCACCTGCGCTGTTACGACAAAAAACCAGTGATTTGCTCTCGACTCCAGGAAGACGAAAGCATTCAGTTGCAGATTATCTGGTGAGAATGGTTGTGAAGTATCAATGAGCTTCCAGTTAGCAAGACAAGCTGAAGCGTGACATATGATAGGACGGAGTCCAAGCCTTTTAGATACCTTCGTAGAGGTGCCGCGATACGTTTCCTTCGTATAATGAAGTTCCCCTGTAAAGATTCAATCACCTAATGCTATAGGAAAATGTAGTTCTTGAACGACGATAAACTTTGTTTTTGCGGAAAAACACATCGCAAAGGAAAAGGAGGCAGTTATAGCGTCCAGGGACAATTGCATCTGCACTACAAATGACTAATTTCGCCAAAAAGGTGGCTTGCACCAGAAAGTCGTTAAAAAAACAAAACGACCTCTTTATAAATCACGGTAAGGCTGTAACTGGTGCCGTAGAGCACAGAGACAAAGGAATACACGCGTTTATTCCTACTGGTGAGCAACTTTTTACTGTAATTGGTAAGAGCATGTTCGAACAGTTGGTAGAATCGTTAAAGGTGAAAAACTTCTATCGGCGCTGGTTATGCACCATTTTGGGATGGCTACACAATGACCTGTATGTGTCCACTCAATGTACAACTTAGTGTTCTTAATTCAGTGTTCTTATCCTCTCAGAATCTGGTACCATTTTGCTGTTTCCGGAGGTAGAAGGCTTGGTTGACCTGGGCGGGAGCCGATCCGGGAGTTGACTTCCAGACCGCTAGTAAGCGGGTCACTAGCCACCACCTCCGCCTCAGATTTGAATAGAGTGGATACAACGAGAAAATGTAAGCAGTGCCAAGGCGCATCCCATGATAGCGTTAGGTGGATGACGGGGTTGGAAAATAAAAGTGCATTTGCGACAAACTCAGATGAGAACAGAAGGGCAAAAGAAACTGTGAACGCAGACTGCAGAAGCCATGATAAGAGACCAGATACCACGGAACGGAAAGACGGGAGATAAGTCGCTCGCTGAGGGCGGCCTTTTCAGAGTGGGTAAATGAAGCTACTTGGAGAAATATAGCCCTTGGGCTCTTCATTCACTGCAGAGCCATTCCATTCAGCTGATCAATGGTTATGCTTTTAAGCTTCTGTTCTAAAATATGTCAAGTATACTCTTCGCAGCGCACTTTTTGTGGAGTGACTATTTTGGCTAGGTGCTTACAAGTAGACTGCTTACAGTGGGCATCTGGTGGCCGCTATTTCAGTTTTCGTGAGAGGTGCGTCAGAAGGAGGTTTTCCTGTGTACGCTCAACGCTGCGCCAGCTCGTTTCCGCCAGTCGTTGAAACTATTAGGTTGGAAGAAGGTCGTGCGACACTTTGATTAAATCGTTTTAGAAAAAGACCAGAAAACATTTTGAATGTTTTCACCCCTGATTAGTGGAGAGTTTCCTCTGAATTTTTGCAGATGTGTACATCATGACTTTCGTGGAAGCTTTCAAAGCCTAGAAGTCCCTCAAAGTCAAAGTACTTTTCGACCTATCCCATATTATGAGTTCCTGTAGGGCCACTCCGCCGTAGTCGAGGAAGCTAACACCTGTGTTGTATTCAGGAAGGATATCGCTTGCCATGGCAGAGGGTAGCGTTTGCACCAGCGCTTCCAAGCTGGAGTTATTTAATTCGGAGGTAGGCAATGTATAGGTCGGCCACCAGCACAGAATGACGGCCGTTTACTCAAGCTTCTTGAGGCGCAGCCGAACGTAACCACCAGTAAGTTGGCAACCTCTCTAGGCTCCACCTAACTGACAACTGCCATGCTTCTCCGCAATCTCGGTTATAGGGAAATTTTTTGTGAAGGATGCCTCATGAGTTGGACCCAGTCTGACAAAGCGCACCGAATGACCGTGACTGAGTTTTCTTTTCCTTGTACACACTGGAAGAACTTTTGTGAGATCTTGTGGTTGGTAGCGAGTGGTGGAGTCCTTGCGTACATCATGCACACATCCCTCGCAGGATCTCTCAAGGAGAAAAGTAGATTGCTTAGCCAAAAGCAGATGTGCATGAAAGAAAGATTTCACTATGTTGTTGGTGGGACTTCAGAGCGATATAACTGGGTACTGGCACAACAATGACGGTCACAGTCTACACTACACTAACATATGGATGAATTCACGCTTGAATTCATTCGGAAACACTTCCTTTCTACTACTCGGCAATGCGAAGACCGCGTCTGTGGATCAGGCTACGCCAAAGATCATGGATCTCGGTCAGGGAATGCGTCCGTACCCAGTTCATGAAAAGTCAGCAGCCTCTAATCACCACCTACTTCGATCCCTACCGCATCCTT